TATATCTGTAGACTGTATGAGAGTTGGTTTCAGTGTGGCCGCCCCAACCCCAGACAGCCATCTAGAGAGCAGCCCAAGCTATGTTCCGGTCACATTGTGTTGCTCACTGCCCTTTCTCCCACTCCCCACCCCCACACATTCTGGAAGTTGGATATTGGCATGTGGCTTTTCTGGCAACTAGGAAAGGGGTGAGGATTAAAAGGAGAAACAGCACCGTGGAGTGGAAAACAGGCACGTCACTTCCCTGGGCCTCAGTTACCTCATCTGTAAAATGAGGGCAGGGAGGTGAGGGGAGGTTGGGGCCAGGTGGCCTCTGAAATTCCTTCCAGAAAGAGCAAGTCTAAAGTTGACAGTGACAAAGCTGGCTGAGATAGGACAGATTAGGAGATGGTCAGAAGCATGACAGCCAGTGGTTGTGTGCACAACCTGGGGCTGGGGCTGGGGCACAAAGGGAAGCATGGGGCACAGGAAGAAACAGGCTTGGGGAGTCCAATCTTGTACATGCCCATTCCCCTCCACCCACTGTATATCCAAGAGTCCTTCCTTACCGGCTGAAATCATATACATCCTGCTGACCATCTCTTCCTTGCAATCTAACCCCTCGGGAGTTATGCTTACCATCGAAGCCTAAGAAAATTACTGTTAAATTGAATTGAATGACTTAGAGCTCCTTTTTCCTGCATTTCTATCTCCACCAAGGTAGGGGAGAGTGTGGAGAGGGACTTGTGAAAGGTACTTGTTGGACAAGAAGACTGGAGTGGGTGGAATTAATCAGGAAAAGAAGACAAATTCTGGAGGTGACTTTAATGTTCATTTGAAGGAGGCATAGGAAAAACATTTACATATAGGCACACATATGTCACCAACCTGGGTTTGAGCAACTTATGATCTTGAGCAAATAAGATCTTTGAGCTTTAGTCTCCTCCTCTGGAAAATGGGGATAGTGTTACCTGCATTACCTGCCTCACAGGGTTGCTGTGTGAAAAGTTTTATAAATCTTTAAGGTACCATAGAAATGTGACCTAGTAGTTGTATTGTTGTATGTGGAGCAGCTGGGGCAAATGATGGAAGGGATGGGGTGGGGGGGGGATCATCCCAAGGAGGATCTGAGTCAAGAAACAGAAGACCAAAAGTAACAGTACTAGAACCCCGAAGGGAGCAGTCAGATCTGAAGCTTGGGGTGCTCCTGGGGGACCACTAGAGACTGACAGCAGGGAGTCTGGGAAAAATCTAGGGAAACTGCATTTGAGAACCTGGTCTAGAAGAGGTAGTCCGTTGTCGAAAAGGGGAGCTAGACATAAATTAAAAAAACAAGATTCCTGGGTTCTCCTATACACATGGGGCAAAGAGTGAGGAGGCACAGGGAAGCAAAGATAATAGGATGCTGTATTGGCAGCAAAGGAGAGCAGTCATTTCTGATGTTGGGCTGAGACTATGGTCTATAGACCTTAGAAAGTCTGACTTCAGGGTCCAAAGTGGAAAGCAAAATGTACAAGTTGGAAGATGTTTTTCCCCTTCTTGTTTGCCCTGGGTAAGAGGTTCTTTGTACTACCGTCTTTCCCCACTTCGAAGTTCTTATAGGTAACGAGTAGCAGCAGGTAGAACTTTGCCCATGGATCTTTGACTTCTTTAGAGAGGAGAGGGTGAGAGTGGATTTGCAGCAAGCATTAGGTGAGGGGCTATCTCCTTAGTGGCCTACTGCTACAGCCCTCCCTTCCTCCATTTCTCCTGGTGGGTTACAGTGGCTGGTCTGGAACTGAGTATCCAGTTCCCCTAGCCAGGGTGGAGATGGGGGGAGGTGGAGCTTCAGGGCGTGGCCATCGTGGGGAAGGGCGGGGCTTGGACTGTCGGCCAAATGTTGTGGATGGGGGCTGCTGCATTTGAGGAGGGGACTGCCTAGACCCCGGGATGATGGCTCTGTGGCCTGAGAGAGGTAAAAGGCTGGACATATGTCCCTGCTACCCTGGACTCCCCCCGCCGCAACTGCTCTCGCGTCGGATTGGAACTGATGTCACCGGAGCTCCTGAGCTCTGGAGGCGTGGGGAGGACTCGGGAGCATTGCGGCTGAGCCTTGCTGAGCTGGCCCGGCGCTGGCCCTCCAGCCTGCAGCTCTGGTTAGCTAGGTCCGCACTGGTCCTGACCCGGCCAGTCGGAGCCCGACTGGGCCAGAGCCGGCGGCGGAATGGATGGAGCCGAGGAAGGACGAGTAAGTGATGCCCAAGGGAGAGACATTCCGGGAGGGAGACTCCTGAGCCTCGGAGCCCGTCACTTCCACTAAGGGTCTTGTGGTCTGTGCCTAAAGACACAGGCGTAGGAGAGAGGCCCTGGGAATAGACCCGTGTCGTAGATACGAAGGGAATCCTATTCCTTTCCACACGCCCACACACCCCTGCATAGCCCACCGCTGCAGAGTGCTCGAACAGCATGGCCAAACCCAGGGCAGGCAGGCGGCTAACAATGACACATGGGTAAATCCCAATGGACTTGGGGGGACCTGTCTCCCGAAGGTTTTCCCGGAGAAGGACCATTAGAAAGGTACTTTATTTGGAGAGGAATGAAAAGGGAGAATTCAAGATAGAGACAACGCGGGTGAAGGGGGCTGGAGGAAATCAGTAGGTAGGGGACTCAGGAAAAAATATTGGCTTAGCCGAAGTAAAAGAAGCTGAAGTTGGGAAGATGGGGGGGGGAGACCCTGGGGCGCATAAATCTGAGCTTGAAATGTCTAGCGGAAGGGACTGGCTTGAGGGAAGAAATGAAAGTAGAGGTCAAGGAACTCCATAGGGGGAGAACCCTTCTCTTCCGTTAGTTGCCCGCCTAAAGTTTTGGGTGTGGAGAGCAGTATGAGATGGAGATGGGGAATAAGGACAGCATAAGAGGTGAAGGCTGAGGGATGATCTTGTTTGGGGATGTTATTTGGACTTGCTCAGTCACTCAGACCAAGATCCTGGGGTAGTGTGCTTAGCACTAGCATTAGCTTAAAAAAAAAACCCAAAACCAACACCGTGAATGGTTCCCCTCTGGCTGTGGGATAAAGGCATACAAGGTCCTCACTTGCTGCATTCTGCCACTACACCCCTATAGAAAAGTCTTGGTCCAGGCAAACCAGACTCCTTGCTTGTTCACTTCCACAAAGTTCCTTCACCAGGAAACTGGTCTCTCTCTTCCCTCCTCCTGTCAAAATTCTAGCCATTCTTCAAGGCCCAGCTGAAATATTCCCTCTTCTGTAAAAACTTACCAGATTAACCCTGTTAACGGCAGGCTTTTGATTACCTCCAAATTCTTATGGAGCTTTGGATATTTGTCTAACAGACCTGTGACATACTGCCTTCTGTTGTAGTTGTGTGTGTGTGTGTATGTCAGGATCTCCCCAGGAGAACAAAAAGCACACTTTCCATGTTTTTATAGCTCCCATAGCACCCAAATACAGTGAGTTGTACATAGTAGGTGCTTTGTTGGATGGATGAATCATCTTGCTTATCACCTGGACCTCAATGTCCTCATCTGTCAAGTGGGTAGGGTGTTCTCTAAGCCCCATTCTACTCTAACATTCTATTATTCCTTGCTACTTTAACCAAGCCTCCTGCTTTCTCTCCCTGATCCTCCTATATTCCTTTCATCTATATTGCTTCACTCTCAATTTTTTTTTTGGTACATATTGCTCTTTTTCCCTTTTTTTTTTTAATCTCTTTTGGGATGCAGACCTAGTAGTGGTAATACTCGGTCAAAGGGTATGCATGGTTTTATAGCCCTTTGGACATAGTTCCAAATTGCTCTACAGAATGGTTGAATCAGTTCACAATTCCACCAACAGTGCATTAATGCCCCATTTTCCCCACATCCCCTCTACCATTTGTCATTTTCCTTTTCTGTCCTGTTAGCCAATTTAATAGATATGAGGAAGTACCTCAGAATTGTTTTCCCATTATCTAACTTAATCAAAAGATCTGTGGTTTTCCTACTTTCACTTCCTGAGATGAATTTAACTAAGATTCTCCCCCACCTTCTTCCAAATACAGAACTGGGCTCAGGGTGGATGGGTCTTCTTGCCCTAAAGTTCTAGGTTCAGACTGACCTGTAGGTCAAATGGGTCAGAGGAGTCTATAGTGCCCCCTCCCACTTTTTCCCCTTCCTTTCCCCCCAACATATTTTAGGGATCCTCTCAACATTTCAGACCCCTTCCCACCCTTGTCAGATTTCAAATAGGAGGGCAGCTAGGTGGGGCAGTGGATAGAGCTCTGGCCTTAGAGTCAGGAGGACCTGAGTTCAAATCCAGTCTCAGACACTTGAAACTTACTGCTGTGTGACCTTGGGCAAGTCACTTAACCCCGACTGCGCCCCCCCCCCCCCACACACAAAAGATTAAAAGTAAGAGATTCCCTCCTTTCATGTAGTTGCCCTCTGGGTCTGGCATCCCACAACTACCTTCATTCTGTGTTACAGGATAGCATATGTCCTTTGTGGCAATTCCCATGATCTTTTCAGTGGGTTTAGCCTCCCAGCTAGAGTGTAAGCAGATGAAAGTTCAGTCATTTCACTCTGTGTTTGACTCTTCATGACCCCATTTGGGGTTTTCTTGGCAAAGATACTGAAGTGGTTGGCCATTTCATTCTCCAGCTCATTTTACAGATGAGGAAACTGAGGCACACAGGGTTAAGTGACTTGCCTGAGGTCACAGAGCTATAGTAAGTGTCTGAGGCCAAATCTGAACTCAGGTCTTCCTGATCCTGGCCCACCTCTCTATCTCCTGTGCCACTTAGTTGCCCTAAGCAGATGAAAGGGGCATGTCATTTCTTTGGAGACTCCCCTAGAACCCCACTAACCCTGAATCAATGTTTCATTCATTCAACATTATTTGTGTGTGGTTGGGTACCTAGTGTACGCAGTGTAATATTAAAAAAAAAATTTTTTTTTTATGGTAAGGCAATCGGGGTTAAGTGACTTACCTAGGGTCACACAGCTAGTAAGTGTCTAGTATCTGAAGCCGGATTTGAACTCAGGTCCTCCTGACTCCAAGGCTGGAGCTCTATCCACTGCGTGCCTAGCTGCCCCGAAATATAATATTAAGGTCTGAAGATTCACAGATAACTAAGACACAGTCTATTCCCTTTTCTCCAAAGTCTTACTCTCTAAGAGGGGGAGATAAGGGAGCACTTAGGATAAAGGCACTGTGTGATGTGTGCATAAGAGAAGTACTCAGAGATCATTTTCTGCCCTTGAAGATGTCTCAGCAGAGCGTGTGGCCTTGGAGTCAGGCTGTACCATAAAGGTTTAATAGAAATCAATAGGTAGAATTGGGAAGGTAGGTTGGAATATGGTATTAATAGATTGTGGAAGGCCTTAAATGCTATAAGCAATGGGGAGCGACTGGAGATTTTTTTAAGCAAGGCGAGGCTTCTCTGTGCTTTAGAAAGATCAGAGCAATGGATGAAGACCCTAACTTTGGCAATGTGTTTAGGACAGATAGGAGTAAGGAGAAAGAGGAGGCAGGAAGACATATTTAGGAGGCCATAATGACAGTTCACTATTTATTTAACTCAATTTCTCCCAGGGCCTTCCTTGACTCTAACATTAGGGGAGAGGGTAGGGGTGTCCTGCCTCTCCAATTTTACTAGTTATGTCTCTTCTCTCAGGATACAGAGCTGCAGCGGAAGCTGGACCACGAGATCCGGATGAGAGAAGGGGCCTGCAAGCTGCTGGCTGCCTGCTCCCAACGGGAACAAGCCTTAGAGGCAACCAAAAGCTTGCTGGTCTGCAGCAGCCGAATCCTCAGCTACATGGGGGAACTGCAGCGTCGAAAGGAAGCCCAGGTGCTGGGGAGGACAGCAAGGCGGTGAGCAGACGGGGTGGGGGGAGGGGTGGCTCCTACACAAAGCAAACACTGTCTAGAACCAAAAATGCATTTAACCAATACATAATGAGTGTCAGCCGGGTGTGCGGTGATGTCCAGTTGACAAAGAGAACTGAACTAGATGGACTAGCATGGGGAGTCTGAGGCTGACAAGGAGAGTTTGGTGCATGTGGTGTCTGGGAGCTCCAGGACTGATGGAGGGACCCCTCTAGGATGACCATACTCCAATGCCTGAACAACCCTGTACCCAGAACCGCATCAGGCATCACGAACTGGTTTGCTCATTGACTGTGACATTATAAGACAGGACTCCCCACAAGCGCTCCCAGAGCGGCCCTGAACACAGAACACAGTTCCATGGCGATGGATACGTGCTAAGCAAGGAGGCTGGTAGTATCCCCACCAGCTCTTGACAAGAATGTTAAAGGGGGTAACTGCAAGAAGGGAAGATGGCGGCCTTTCAGAAACACTTGAGCTTTGGGGCCTATTGGAATAACCAGAGTGGTAGGGGATTTAGTGGGGAGGCTATCTGTGCTGTCAAAGATTTGGGGTCCAGTGTTGGAGAAACACAAAGCTGCTCCAAACTGAAGACTACAGACAACAGGGCTTGAAAGAGACTGGGTCCATGCAGTGCACTTTCTGTATGAGAGGCGTCAGGGCACCGTGGATCAAGGACTGGCCTTGGGGGGAAACTGGAGTTCAAATCCCACCTGAGATATCTACTAGCTGTGGTGACTAGCTCAGTTTTTCCTCATCTGTAAAATGGGGGGGAGGAGGGATAGACTACTGTATATGGCCTCAAAGGTCCTTTCCAACTTTAAATCTGTAATCCTAGTTGGTAAAATTTGGTGAGCACTATAGGACTCCAAAGTATTGGAGATAAGTGTTGATGGGGTGAGGGTGAGGGGAAAGCCTTAGCGTTTAGATCACTGTAGTGGGAAGCTGATTAGCCAAAGGGCGTCGAGAAAAGGTACTAGTATGGTAAAGGAGAAGTTGGCATGGGAATCAATGTGGGATTTTGACCTGAAAGGGATCTAGTTCAACTCTCTAATTTTAAAAATGAAGAAACTGAGAAAGGTGAATTCCCCCAGGTCCCAAAGGTAGTAAATGTTAGGGCCAAGATTCCTACCCAAGGCCATTGGAAGTTCTAACTGCCAACCCAGAGCACCACAGTCCCTTGGAATACAGCGGCAGGTCATCGAAGATAAGCTTCAATGCTTTCCCCGTCAATCAGCCCACCAGGAGTTCCTTATTAATTACCTGATGTGTTTCTCTATGCTCTTCCCTCCCAACCCTCCCCCACCCCCACCCCAAAATACATGTCATCTATATATAAAAGGGAAGGGTTAATGGGATATGGAGGGTGGGGAAGGAGATGGGTAAGGTTAGTTGATTGATTAGAAAAAAACCCTGATATTTATAGAACAATTTTGAGTTTGGAAACTTCCTACTTAAGACTCATGATACTTGTGATGTAGGTATGATGTATATTATTATCCCCCTTGTACAGCTGGGGAAACTGAGTCTCTGAGAAGCTAGGTGACTTGCCTCTGGTCATAGAGCTGGTGTCAGAGAGCAGGATTCAAACTAAGGTCTCTCTTACTCCTAAATTTGGCACTCTTTTCTGCCATGGAGGAAGGGACCAATAAAGCAAGATTATTATTCTTAGAAGGCATCTGTGCCAAGGAGTGTGTATGTTTATACAGGACTCTGTAACCATGTGCATATACAGGGGTGGAAGCATATTAAGTGATCACTGGCACTGATGATGGGGTTGATGAGTACATATCGACCACTGAATAAAAATTTCCTAGGGCCATACAGCTCCTTGTATTTTATCCTTTGGTTGCCCCCAATATCTATCATCCTGGCACAGGAAGGAATGCTGGGTATCAGGATGATCCATAATCCCTGTGTTTCTGGCCAGGGGCTGGAGGGGGAAAAGGAGAGGTGTTTAACTACTGTAACATGCTTATTTCCTCCCCTGCACCCAAGGCCTTCAGACACTGGGCCCCCCGACGAACGCTCCCCATGTCGAGGCACGATTTGTATCTCTGGTAAGGAACCTCTGGTTCATCTTCACTGACCCTTTACCTCACCTCATCCTGGCATCCCCTTCCTTGACTCTCCCTGCACACAGGCTCTGTCCCTGGGGCTAAAGAATATTGTCCACGTGAATATATTTTCTCCTGGGGCACCTCCCTTCTTCCCGTGCTGTCTCAACCCACCCTGGGTCCCTTCTCCTCTAGATATCCGAATCCCCCTCATGTGGAAGGACACAGAATATTTCAAGAACAAGGGAGGTAAGTCTCATGGACTGCAATGTTTTCCCTGGGGAATGGGCTGGGTAAAGACCCCAAGGACCCTATCTGCTCTGTTGGTGGGGGTTCCTAGCAATGTCTGTCAGTCCCTATTTGACTTTTGGCTTCTCTACCTTCAGACCTACATCGATGGGCCGTATTCTTGTTGCTGCAGCTGGGAGGGAACATTCAGGACACAGAGATGGTCCTGGTAGACAGGACCTTAACCGACATCTCCTTTCAGAGCAGTGTTCTTTTGTGAGTTCTTAACCCACTCATCTTTCCCTACTCTCCAACCCAGCCCTGATCCTTGGGAGAGGGGCCCAGGGTATGTCTCTGAGGGAAGGCAGGATATGGGAGACGCTGTACGACTCCTCCCCCTCCCCCGTAACTCTCCTGGGGTCTCCCTAGATTCCCTCCAGACCCCTTTCTCACCTCAATCCCATCTTTTGCAGTACTGAGGCAGGACCAGACTTTGAGCTGCGGTTGGAGTTATATGGGGCCTGTGTAGAAGAGGAGGGAGCCCTGGCTGGGGCCCCCCGGAGACTGGCCACCAAGCTCAGTAATTCTCTGGGCCGATCCTCAGGAAGGCGTGTTAGGGCTTCATTGGAGAGTGCAGGAGGCTCTGGAGGTAGCAGTGCGGCCAGCCCCATCCTGCTCCCCACTCCAGCTGTGGGGTAAGACATTGTCTCTGGGCCCTGTGGTTCTCTCCTGTGGTCTCTGAGCCTTTCCCTGGGCTATCGTGGAAGAAGGGGAGAGGCATACTACCAAAGAACATTGACATGGGGGGCAAGGATAATCATTTACAAATATTTGTATTGCCCAGGACGTGTCTAGGTGATTCATAGCAACGTGGGCCAGGCTCAGAGTGGTTTCAAGAGGCCTTGGAGGGTGGCGACCCTGGAGTGGGATTTCTAGTGAAAGAAGAAATACTTCAGAAAGCCCTCAGTGACAAGGGAAGAGGAGAGCTGTTTCACCCTGTGGTCATTTGACTCCTCCTGCCTTACGATCTCCACTCTTTCTCTCATCTGTTTCTTTGTCCCTCCCACAGGGGTCCCCGATACCACCTCCTGGCCCAGACCACCCTGACTCTGGCTTCGGTACAGGACGGCTTCCGCACCCATGACCTCACCCTCACTAGTAATGGTGAGTGAGTGAGGGTGGATGGGGGTGAAGTCTAATTCTGGATGGAGAGAAGAGGGGCCCAGTTAAAGGACCCCCCTCCCCTTCCCCAATATGACTCTGTTCTCTCTAGAGGAAAGCCCAGCCTGGCTGCCCCTGTACGGCAGCGTGTGTTGTCGTCTGGCAGCTCAGCCCCTCTGCATGACCCAGCCTGTCATGAGTGGTACCCTCAGGGTACAGGTGAGGACAGGGAGGGACCAAAGGAGGTGGGGAAGGAGAGAGGAGACAGTTGTGTAGAGGGACTGAGAGACAAGAAGCAGGAAATGTACGGAAGAGAAGTGTTTTTAAGGAAAAAAGGCTAGAAAAGAGGATCGGGGTGTCAGAACAGGATCTGTGGGATCAGAAGTAGGTAAGTGGGGAAATCAATCATCACCTTAAATTCAGGCATAAATGAGACAGAGTGCTACTGAGAGGTACCAGGGTGAGGGGTAAGGTGGGATGGGAAGGATGGGGAGGAGGGAGGTGGTAGAAAGTGACTTCTAACCTTGGTTCTTGGTTTGTTTACCCTGGCCCATAGAGCTGGGGCCAGGTACATGGCATCCTGAAAGGAACAAACCTTTTCTGTTATCGACATCCTGGGGAAGCCAGTGCTCAGGAAGATCCATTGTTCACCATTGCAATCAACAAGGTAATGATGCCAGCTCGGGGACCCCTAAGCTTTGGGGGGCCAGGGAGGATCCTCAGCAGAACATGGGAGGACACCATTTCAAACCTCTGAAGTGGACCTTGGACAGAAAGGGGGCTCCCGCTCACATAGGCCTTACGGATGAAAACTGCCCGGCATCGACCCCAGACTGCAGGGAGCCTGACCTGCCTCCACTCAAAACAGCAGAACGGCTCCTGGACATGGGGCCACCCAGCAACGCTCTGATTGCTGTCAACCAAGCTCCTCTGGCCTTAGATCCCACCCAAGACGTTTACTGTGTGTCCCGAGGCCTCGGCTTCTTCATCTCTGAAATGCCCTTTGTCCTTTATTTAGAGGTCTCCCTCCCTTCCTCTTTTCTTCTTGTCCTTTGTCTGTTTCTCTTTCTGATTCTCTGTCAGTCTTTTAGCACTTAACCTTACTCTCTTAGTGTAGTCTTACTCTTCTTTCAAATTTTCCTCCCTTCTTTCTGAACAAGGGTTCCTTAGCTATTTTAAGCCATGGTCCCTTTTATTTTTTTTTAATTTTTTTTTTTTTAGGCAATTGGGGTTAAGTGACTTGCCCAGGGTCACACAGCTAGTAAGTGTCAAGTGTTTGATCTGAGGCTGGATTTGAACTCAGGTCCTCCTGACTTCAGGGCCAGTGCTCTATCCACTTTGCCACCTAGCTGCCCTTCATTGTCCCTTTTAGCCATCTGGTGAAACCTATTGACCTCTTCTCAGAGTATCGCTCTACAGCAAAAAATAAAGCATGTAGTAAACCAGTAAAGCACAAAGTAAACCAGTTATGTTGAAGTGCAGTTATCAATACATTTTTTTTCAATATATTTTTTAAAAAACAAGGTCAGGGACCCTAGGTTTTAGAAGGACCGTATTAGATACTCAGTTCAGTGGATCTGTCTCCCACTTTCCCCTATTTTTCCTTATGTTTGGCTTTATCCAGCTCTATCTTTGGCCTATCACTTTCTGATGTTTTGTGAAATCCGGGCTTCAGTTTCCTTATCTGTAAAATGAAGGGATGGAAGGGGGTTGGATTTCATGTTTGCTAGGGTCCAGGATCTCAGTCTTAAATTATTTTGTCCATCAGTTGTGTGAGTTTTTTGTCATATGTCTTCCCTTAGCCTCGGATCCTGTCTGGCCTTAAGGTCACAGACCTCTCTGGTCATAGGAGAATTGGCTAGTAACTGATTATGTCCCCACCTGGCGGGGCCCTCCATGGAGGTCACCTGGAAAAGAGGGACTAGGGAGGAAAGCAGGGAGGGGGAAGGTGAATCTGACACGTGGGCTGGACTTGAACCTCTTCCCTTTCCCCAGGAGACTCGGGTCCGGGCTGGGGAGCGGGACCAGCCCCGGGGGGCACCCCTCACCCTCAGCATTAGTAACCGGTACGGGGGGGATGAAGTGACCCACATGTTGCAGATGGAAAGCCGGGGGGCCCTACAGCGATGGATGGAGGCCCTATGGCAGCTTTTCTTTGACATGAGTAAGTGGGTGTAGGGTGCTCCTGGGGTGGGGTGGAGTAAGGGGCCTACGGGGCTCCTGGGAGGCTTCATAGGTTGGCTTCATGGTTCGTACCCGCTTCTGTGACCTCTTATGGGCTGGGGACGGGCGGGGCAGGTCCCACAAAACTCCGAGAAAGCTCTGAGTAGCAGGAGAAGTTGTAGGGCTGCAGTAGTCCTCGTCCAAGTCTGGAGGACAGCCTGGAAGCGTTCTGTTAGACTGACATGCCTCTCTGACGAGTGATTGGCAGGGAGGGTTTATTAGAGAAAGAAGCCAGGGTGAAGGCTAGGCACCCAGTGGACCCACCATGGCCTGCACCCTCTTTCTCCCCTCCTGTAGGCCAATGGAAGCAATGCTGTGATGAGCTCATGAAGATAGAAGTCCCTCCCCCACGAAAGCCACCCCCTGTGCTGGCCAAGCAAGGCTCACTCTACCACGAGATGGGTAAGGGTGACTCCATGCGTGGGAACAGGAGGGAGGTGGGTGCAGGAGGCCCAGAGGATGAAGGCAGGTAGATGGCAAAGGGTCCCCAGGCTTGAGCACGTCATCTTTGAGCAGAAGTGATAATTCAGTTCACTTCTCCTTCCTGTCTGGCCCACTCTTCTCACTCATTCACCTCCAGCTGTGTCCTGTCCTCAGACCCACCTACCTCCCCTGCCTTTGACTTGTTCTTGGAAGACCCACTACCTTGTCCCACTGTCACCTCTGACCCTCTTCTCAGACCCCTTTCCCTCCCCCACTGTCACCTCTGCCCTCTTCTCAGACCCCCTTCCCTCCCCCACTGTCACATCCGACCCTCTTTTAAACCCACTCCCCTCCCCCACTGTCACCCCTTACCATTTTCTCAGACCCACTCCCCTCCCCCCACTGTCGCCTCTTACCATTTTCTCAGACCCACTCCCTTCCTCCCACTGTCACCTCAGACCAACTCCCCTCTCCCCTCTCCCTCCCAGATCTGGCTTTCTCCTCCTCCGTAGGCCTGTTTTCAGACCTCTCCTTCTGCTCTTAGATACCCCCTAAAATGGTTTCTTTCCGTAGGGCTCTTCAGGCCTTTCCCTTCCTAATGTCGTCTTTTCTGTCTCCCCTTCCTCATGCTGGTCTTGTCTCCGGGGACTACTTCCCCCTTTTCTTGGTTTCTCTGGGCCTCGCCACCTTCTCCCCCTCCCTCCCCTCCCTCAGCCTTGGTCCCAGGGGGCCCAGGCGAGGGACTACTGCTCCAGGATAATGCTGTATCAGCCGAGATCCGGGCTCTGCTCTCCTCCTATTACAGCGACAGGTGACAGCTGGCCTGGTGGCTGGGAGGGGGTCTGGGGGGTTGGGATGGCACAGAGCATGTCTGGGGCTGAAGCTCTGATGTGTACCCCCCCCCCAAATCCCCTCCTGGTGCTACAGCTATTGAACCTCTAGATGACATCGCAGCAGTGACGGACATCCTGGCCAAGCGTGAGGGGCCCCCCCTGGATGTCCCCCCGCCCTGGCTGGCATTATTTACTGAGAAGCTGTCCACCTCAAAGCTTCCAATCCACGCACCCCGAAGCCCTTCTCCACCCCGGGCCTGCCCAGGCCCCCGAGCCACCCCCTGGGGCCGGCCCCGTACCCTCTCCCTGGACGCTGTTCCCCGAGGCCGGCCCCCTCTTCCTCCCCGCTCCAGCTCCAGTTCCAGCTCGGGCTCTGGAAGCCCTGCCCCCCGACAGCGGTCCCCACCAGGCCGGGGTTTCCGGGCAAAAGCCCGCCCCTGGCTCCAGTCACCTGTGTGAGGGGTTGTAGGAGGGGGTGCTACTGGAAACAGGGTAATGCTGGAAGAGGAAATGCCTTCTGATGTCACTCAAAGGAGTGATGTCAGGGCAGGGTCAGTGGTGCCACTGATGAGGGTCTTGGGATGGCCACCTTGATGCCTGGCTCCCTTGGTGGGAGTGCAAACCCCTCCCTAACTGTGGGGCCACCACAAGGGGACCTTGTCCACAGCTGGCTGGTGGACCCCGGCCACTTCCTGAGAGAAAACTGGAACACCCCCAGCCCAACTGCACTATCCCCCCTTGGGCAAAAGTGAAGCCGGCAGCCCTTCAGGTTCTGGAAGGAAGGAGCAATAGCTCCAGAAAGGGCTCCTGCCCCCATCGCTCGCCCCAACTCGGTCATTAAAGTCTATTTAATATCGTGGAGTTGAGCTTGAGTGTCATGCTGTGGGAGGGACGGCCAGCTCCCGGGCTTCTATAAACCTGACTTCACTTCTGGTCCCTCTGTGTAAAGTCCTGTAGTTACCTCTCTTAAGAAAAAACAGACAGAGAGGGGTTGGGGGTCCTGTCATACCTTTATATACAACAAATGTCAAATGGGAGGGGAAAGCCCCCAGTACAAGCGGGCTCAGAACCTGGGGGCAATGTCAGGCAGTCCTGCCTCCTCCTCTTCCTCCTCTCCTCACACACAGCTGTATCTTAGGATCTCCGCCAGGTCATAGCCAGTCACGGCGAAGGAAGAGCCCCTAGGGTCACAGAATCGGGCCCCACACACTTGAGTGTCGGTCACACATTCTGCATGGCAGTGTTCCACCTGGAAGAGGGGGAGGGAGGGTTAGGGCTCTGCCCTTGGGGGAAGAGAGGGCTTGTGTGCTCTCTGTGGGGCCCGGAGTGCCAGGATATTGCCCATTGTGACACTGCCTGGGCATGATACAGACCTCAATGCAGCCACTGTCTGGATTTCTGCTTAGCTTCCAGATATGCACAAAGGAGTCTTCAGCTCCAGAGAGCAGCTGTAGGAGAGGGGAAATGGGGCTAAGGGGCTGACAGGAGAAACCGTGGTTTGTGCACACGGGGGATTAACCCTGGGGTGATCCCCAGGAAGATGCCTCTATCAAGGGTCCCTGCTGAGACCTAGAAAGAGGTTCTCACAAGGCAGTCATTGATGCTACAGGGCCTGGGTAGACTCACCTTGCCTGCCTCAGGTGCCAAGTCCAGGGCGCAGATACCACGGGCATGGGCATTGATCTGGACATGCAGGGCCCCTGAGCTGGCTTCGAAGATGCGGATCTGCCCATCCCCATAACCAGCAGCTACGGTGCCTTGCCACAACCGGACTGAGGGGCAGGGAGTCCTGGGGAGATAGAGGACATTGGGTTGGCCTTCCCAGAGCTCACCTCCCATCTAACCTCTGACCCACCCTGATCCACCTCCCCATCTGGAGCCTCCCATACCCAAATCCTGAGATTCGGGTCAGCAGCTTAAATTCTGGCCCTGACTTCCAGACACACAGAAGGCCTGAGTCATCGGCTGTCACCATATCAGCTACACAGTCCTGAGGGAGGATAGAGAGTAGGTCACCCCCAAAGCCATCTCCCATCCAAGGGGCAGAGAAGCATCTGTCAACCACTGACCACTGGTCCAGTGGGCTCTGGAGGTTGGAAAAGGGATGCACTGTACTGATATCCAGTCTTCTGGATACATCGCTTTCCCAGCCAGACTCACAGCAGCAATACCCACCTTCAGAACTGGGCTCATAACACTCCTGGAAGGTGCATATCGTTGTCCCCTTTGGAAAGTAACAATGAGGCGAAGAGAGAAAAGGACCTAAAAGAGGCCTCTGGGATGAGGACCCAGGTTTCCTGAACTGTAGACAATCAGTTTAAAAGTACTGAGCTTTCCCCCATCCCCAACCTGAGGTGGGCTCCACTCTGTGCCAGGCACTGTGGGGGAGACAAAGTCTAGCCATGGTTCTGACAGCTCACGATTGGGCTCTTCACCTTTGTCATGTGACCCGTTTAAAAACATTATTCTGTGAAGGAACCCGTACGGGTGCTGAAACCATACGGGTTCCTTCTCAGAATAATATTTTTAAACGCATAAAATAAAATGGAGAATTACTGAAGAAACCAATTATACTTAAATATGGTTATCAAGATATATGTATTTTTTTAAGTTTCCAAACCTCCAGGGTAAAAACCCCCTGGTCTATACTGGGAGACAGAGGTGTCCTATGACAACATATTAGGTGCTAAGTTGCAGAACACTGACACTAAGTGAAAAATAGCCATTTCTAAGAGAGATTGTATAAACTGCCTTGTTGGTAAATGTGAATTCTTGGGGGAAGGTTGGATGAGAAGGGTGGGACATGAATGGGGTCATCACCCTTCCACAGGAAAGTTTTGGAAAAGCGAGAGAAGAGATGGCAGAATACGAGCGCTATTGGACTTGGAGGCCGACCCCTTCCTTCACTCTACAGATGGGGAAGCAAGAGCCGGCCTGAGACGCAGCCTGCCCAGCGTGCCACCGCTATGAGCTGTTCAGCAGGAGCAGAACCCGGCTCGTAGGCCTCCTCATCCAGGGCTCTCTTCAGGGAGAGGATGTGTGGCCTAGCAGAGAGGACGCTGCATTTAGAGTGAAGAAGTGCCGGGTTCATATCCCAGCCTGGACGTTTACTGGGTGAGCCTGAGCTCTCTTTCTGTGCCTGTTTCCTCGTCCGTAAAAAGCCCTGGGATCTTCCCTCCCCAAGGCAGGGTCCCTTACCTGGCCCTGAGCAGGCTCTGCTGCAATGTCTGTGATTGGCACCCGGTGCTCATCTAGCTCCTCGCTCAGCACAATGTTGGGACCTTTGGCTGGGACATCAAACACCAAAACCCGACCAGACCACGTCCCTGTGGCCAGGACCACAATGTACTTCAGTGGATGTCTCTAACCATATCTCTCACCCTGACCAGGCTTCCACTTAGTTCCTCAATTAACTAAGCCCCCGGAGCCTCTCCTACCACTGAACTCACCAACGTGGCCCCTGCATCCCACCCTCCACACCCAGACCCCTTACACGTCACCTCCCCAAGGCCTCCTCACCCACACAGATGTAGTGGCCACTGGCAGCAATTCCTCGGGCAAACAGGGCCTGTGCTGAGATAGGAAGGTCATCAGCTGCCTCCCAGGAGTCCAGTCTGTGCCCCTCTCTCTTCCCTCCCAGCTCTCCACCTAAACCACCCAGACCACCCCCTGCCCTGCAGTACCTGGGGGGGCATCACCAGAGTCCAGGGCATGCCAGTAGACCATGACAGAGCCATCTGACTCGTACATCTAGAGTGGGGGGATGACAGAAGTGGAACTATGTTGTAAGAACAGGTAAAAAGATGAAGCCATGGCTCTTGGGGATGTCCCCATGCAGAACTGTTGGGTCAAGTACAAGGGACAGGATGGAGGAGGGGGACCTGGAAGGGACAGAAATGGCCCTTTGCTTGTTCACCTGTATGCCTCTCTGTGAAGTCAACACTAGTAACACCCGGAAAGGCAGGACACACCAGTAGGCCTGAGGAGAAATCGATGTGGGTGTCAGAAGGAAATATTCACAAGCAACAGGATACTAGGGGGGTTTAGAAGAAAAGACATTAACAGGATGAGCAGACACAGCAACCCGGGGTAGGAATCCCGAGAGGAAGGGGCACATGTCAGCATCAGGGCATACCCTAGAAAGAACCTCTCTCCCTCAGGAGGGTTCAACTTCTCCTCTGGGTCAGATAACTCACCTGGGTGACCAGAGGAAAGCTCAGCCCAGCCCCCTCTTTCGCGTGCAGCTGCCGCTGGAACAGAGGAAGGCCATCAGAGGCTGCACTGAGGAGCTGGACATTGGGCCCGTGGACCAATGCAAACTGGGTCAGCCTTGGCGCTGGCACGGACAGCACACAAAGATTGTTGTACAGGGCCGCTGGCCAGGCCCGCATGGAGACAGGTGGCTCTCTGCGGTACATCCTATGGGTAGAGACACTCGGGTTGGGGGGCGGCTAGGACAAGCGGATATGGAAGGGCACTGGGAGGTCAGGTAAGCTTTTAGGGAACACGTGAGGATTCACAAGTCTGAGAGGCAGGGAAATGCACGGGGACATATGCATACAAATACAGTGGACACCGTGAGGGAGGTGGGGGAAAGAAGGGAGAAAGGGAATAAGCACTTCTGTACCGCACCTACTATATGCCAGCCACTGTGCTAAATGCCTTACAGATATCAACTCACTTGATCCTCACAACAACCCTGGGAGGTAGGTGCTGCTATTATCCCCCATCTTACAGCGGAGGAAACTGAGGCTGACAAGGGTTAAGTGACTTGCCCAAGGTCACACAGCTAGTAAGCATCTGAGGCTGGATTTGAACTCAGGTCATCCTGACACCAGGTCCTGAGTTCTACCCACTGTACCACAAACCTGGGGGTGATGAGGGAATCTGAGGGAGACCTGGGACAAAGGGGCAAGAGGTCTGCTTGGAGTATGGCGATATGGCGAACGGGGCGGGGTCAAAGAGGGGTGCAGGGGGGTCTGTATGTTTTATTCCTGGGGCAGTTAAGTGTCTGTAGTTCATGGGCACTGAGCACCAGCGGAGGGGACCCGGGAGCACCGCCACCCTTGGGGGCCGCTGAAGCGGAAGGACACGGGCGACTGACCTAACACTGGAGCGGGGCGCTAGCGCGCGGAGGGACACCGGGATGGCTCACACTTGCGCAGTAGGACCGCAGAGGGACACCGAGGCTGAAGGGGACCCACGACGCCGTAGCACCGGCGCTGGTGTACCTTCGACCCACGGGGGTCGGGGCTTACAGGAAGGCGATGCGGGAGCAGGAGCCTGAGTCAGACTTGAGGAAGGGGAAAGGGGGAAGGCAGATCAGGGCCCACACCGCTCCCACCAGACCCCGGATGCTTCCCTGCCTCCCCTGCCCGGGTTAGACATCCCATCCAGACCGCCCCACTACTCCCCTCCCCTCCCCCCCCACCCGGCCGCGGCACCGCGCCTCACTCGGCTTCTCAGTCCCCGCATCCACCGCCGCCATGGAGACGACGCAGGGCACGCCCGCAGTGCTGTCTACGTCGCATGCCAGGCCGGCCGCGACTCAGCGAGAGCAGGGGGGCGGGTCTGCGCCCGGCACCGCCCACGGTTGCCCGGGTGACTGTTCGGCAGCATCGGTGGGGGCAGTTAAGCTAAGGAGACTAAGGTGGAGGTCCGTAAAGGAAGCCCCAGTCCCACTAGGCTTCAGCGGCGGCTATCCATGGCTCATGAAGGCTCGGTGAGCTCCGCAGGCTTCTGGGAGTTTAGGAGCGGCCTAGGGCGTCTGGCCAGGGCCACAGACCTTCTGTAGTCACAGAACGGGCCCCTTCCCAGCCTAGTGTTGACCTCAATGAGTATTACAAGTAGTACAGCGGGAAGGAGTATTAGAGATGATGGAGACCAACAACCTCTTCATCTATGAATGCAGGGGAGAAGAGGAGGGTTGCCCAAGCCTACTCAGGTGTGCCACAAAGCAGGGTGGGGGCTGATTAGGATAGTTTGGAGTGGAGTGATACCCTCCACGAGGACCCCTCTAGAGCCTACCCACTTGACAAACCTGTGAGAACCAAATGGGCTAATAGGGCTTATAGAGCTGTACAGAAATGTCAGCTATGACTATTATTAGTAATCATTATTCTTCCTACAGAGAGCCGGCAGAGACCGAGGGCAGTCCAGGGCCAAGGCAGAGAAAGTTCGCCCCCCTACAGTGCCTGTGCCCCAGATAGAAATTGTGCCTGGCCGTCTGAACGAATCCGAATGGATCTCACTTATGGGCATTGAGGAGGGTGAGGATGTGGTAGGGGATGTCTTGGCTGAACTGCTGGCCCGTGTGATGGATGCTGCCTTCAAGGTCTACCTGACCCAGCAGGTGGGCATCTACTCTCCCTTTGCCCACCAGAAGGAGTAATTATGACTGATTTTTTTTTTTAGACAATTGGGGTTAAGTGACTTGCCCAGGGTCACACAGCTAGTAAGTGTCAAGTGTTTAGTCTGAGGCCAGATTTGAACTCAGGTCCTCCTGACTTCAGGGACAGTGCTCTATCCACTGTGCCACCTAGCTGCCCCTGTAACTGATATTTTTTAATAAAGGTTTACAGGTTGTAAAGTATTTTCACATATGGCATCTGTCATTTGATTCTCACAGCTATCCTAGGAGGTATGTTGGTAACAAGTATTGTTATCACCACTTTAGAAATGAGGAAACTAAGGCTCAGATTAAATGATTTGCCCATTATCACACATCTATTATTCAGCAAATGTTTTATTACATTTATTATAGATCTAGGAAGTACTAGGATTTGAACCCATGCCATTTGACTCCCAGGTCTGTTTTTTTAAGCTATACTTCTGCTACTCCTTCTTCCTCACTCTCCCAAGCCCAGTAATACTCTTTCTTCTGCCTTCCTTTATTCCCCCACAGTGCATCCCATTCACCATCAGCCAGGCCAGAGAGGCCATGTTGCAGATCACTGAGTGGAGATTCCTTGCGAGGGATGAGGGTGAAACAGATGTGGCTGAAGACCCCACATGGGGGGAGGATGAGGAGCCTAGGGCCAGCACCACAGACACCTGGGCTCAAGGCTCTGTGCCTGTGCTGCATGCGCCTTCCCCTGCTATTCCTACAGGACTCGAATCCTCCTCCCAACCTGAGGTAATGCCTTCGCCACCTTATTCCCCCTTAGTTTATAACCGACGCCAGAACTTCTCCAGCTTCTTCCCATCTAACCTTCCCCTCAAATCACCCCCCCCAGATACTCCCCTAATGGCTAAACCCCTTCCTAGACCACCTCTTTGATGATGTAGAAATGAATAGCCTCGCAACGCCACAGCCCTCACTATCCTGTTTCCTCCCCCCACCAGGGCACTGAGAGTGGGGATCAGCTCTCCATGTATCAGAAGACTTGGATTTCAGTCCCTGAGGATCAGAGCTTGTCTTTCTGGGAACCTCCTGAGTTGAGGCCCACCCCAGGTCCCCCTCCAACACCAGAACCCTCTTCACATAGCCCCCAACACTTTGCCCATCCCTGTCAAAATTCAGTCCCTCTCCTGAGCAGTTTTCCTTCTCTGGATCTTTCCATATGGGAGAGTTCCCAGTTTTCTTTGGAAGTGGGCAGCTCAGTGAGCCCACATCCTTCTCTAGATGTGTCCATATGGGCAAGTCCTCAGGCATCCCTAACTTCACAGCCTGGTTATATTCCATCTCTTTCACAGAATCCCCAACCCCCTTTCCATTGCACTGGGGGCGGGGACAGCTCAAGCCAAGTGAGGGAGACAGGTTTACCTTCCCCCTACTATCTGTCAGTGCCTCTTCCGCCATTCCTGGCTAGCCCTCCCTGGGGCCTCCCCAGAGCCCAGCCTGTCCCAGCCCCCAAAACTTCACTAACTCCCGCATTGCTCCCTGCTGCTTCTGCCAAATTCATGCGCTTACAGCAGGGGCGGTCATACCTAGCCTCGGGTCTGGTGTATGACCAGATGGGACGGATCGTAGCCATGGATCCACTGGATCCTACCCGTCTGCCACAGCACCACATTCAGCCCTTGGCCACAGTTTTGGCCGCTGAGGCAGAGGTCCACCCAATGGAGTCCTACAGGGGACAAAGGAAGCATGTCAATTATGGGAACAAGTTCAGATTCCAGCTTCCCAGTTGCCCCGGACCCCGCCTCCATCCTGGTTTTCCCTTCCCAGCCCCTGGCTTTGAGCTGCCCCTCCAGAACCAGTGCTTCACTCCTCTGAAGTGGGGGTCTAGCATCCAGTGGCCTTATGGATTAGAGGGAGAAACAGATCTGTTGCAGAGGCAGCCACTAGGTTCAAGTCTGATTCCAGGGGCGGGGTCAGGACAGATGCCGAGGTCTGATCTGAGTCTGCTTCCTCACCATGGTTCAAGAGTCCTTGAAGCCACCTCCCAGCTGATATGGAAACCTTCCCAACTGCTGGACTCGATGAAACTGAAGGCTCATGTGAGCCTCTGGAATCCAAGCAAAAACATGCACCGAAGTGGTGGTATTCCTTCCCACATGGAGAGAGAGCAGACCCCTGATCCACTGCCTAAGGAGCCTTCTGAACAGCAGCCCATCCAAACCCATGCACTTAACCCTCAGGTCACTGTGGCTCAGCTGCTGAAGGGCTCTCCACCCAAAGTTCGGGCCCTTCCCTCTCAGGACACAGTCAGCACCACCCTCCCTAAGGAGTCCTGAATGAAGAAAGGCTGTGAGTCTTACCATGACGTTCCCACCCCACCCAGCAACACTCTGAAATCCAAATCCCCACTGCGCCTCCTTCCTTGCAATAAATACTTGTGGGACCCTAAATGTTAGACTGATGTATCCCTGACCACTATCCCGATAATCCCTCCAAAAGAGGATCACTCTTTCATGTCCAAAGGCCCTCTAACAAAGACATTTTTCTCCACTCCCTGACTTTAGATAGCTTCCATTCAGATGGAAAAGATATTCCCTCCCTGCCAGGGACCCTCTAAATGAATGCTGGTACATAGGGCCTCTTCTTTCAGAGAGAGAGAGAGAGAGAGAGAATATCCCAAATTGGGATATAGAGAGAGTATCCTGTGTCCAAATGTGAATATTGGCAGACATGTTATTGTCAGGGATAAGGGATTCTTTTGAAATCACTCCACCACACAATGTGCTAATCCTCTGGGCTGTGAAATGATGGGTTCTGAAGAAGGAGACACCCCCCCACTGCTTTTCCACACACAGCCATGAGGAGGCTAAAGACTGAGAGGAGAAGCACTCACACTCCTAGGAAGCCCCCAGACTGAGTCAGAGGTATTTCTAACACTGGGAAACCCTATTTCTGAGAAGGAATCAAAGACTGAGTTGGAAAGTACCTCAGAGGCCATCCAGACAAATCTATCAAGGCAGGAGTACCCCTAACATCCTTTTAGGGGATGTTAAAGGACAATTCAGCTTTTACTTGAAGACCTCTAGAGAGGGGAGAATCTACTGACTCATTCCACTCTGTAATCTGAGCAATGTTAAGAACTTTCTTCCTTGACATCAAGCCAAAATCTGCCAATGCAATTTTCACTTGTTTATAGTTCTGTCCTTTGGAGTCAAGATCAAGGCTATTTGCTCTTCTATACTAGAAGTCTTCCAGCACTTGAAAAATGATAAGGTCTATTTCCTTCAACTATTCTTATATGGTATGAACTGTGCTATTCTGTGTTGTCTGATTCTGGATACATTTTAGTTTAACAATGTGTTTTCTAATATATGGCCCCCAGAACTGGACTGCAGACATGGTCTAACCAAGCCAAGTGGGCTCTTTCTGTGTATTCTAGACACTAGGCCTCTCTGGGTAGCTTAGGGTTGCATTAGCTTTGCTAGCAGTTATGTCTTGCTGTTGACTTATCTCAAGTCTAGGTCTGCTAAAATAACTAGATTTTATACTAACTGGTGTCATAACTCCCCTATTTAAAAAGTTTTGTTTATTCTAATTGGTGTTTTTTTTTATAGTTTTTTTTTACAGTTATTTGCCAATGTACCACCACCATGTTGAGTCCTTCCTTGTGCAAAAGACAAACAGTTAAGCCAAGCCTAGCCACAAATCAACTGTGTGTGTCAAAAGATACAGTATTTTTCTCCTGTAGTTGCCCTCCCTTACCCCTGTGTCTACAGAGAGGAATTCTCCAAGACCAAGATTGTGGTAATTTGTTGGAGTTTGTTTTGGTTTTTTTTTATTGTTTAGGTAGGTATTTATGTTCATCATTATTAAGTCTCATCTTAATAGATCTGGTCCATCATTCTAGCTGTGGAGATCTTTTTTCGATCCAGATTTGGACATCAAACATGTTATGTCTACTCATCTTCCCAACTTTGTGTCATCTGCAGATTTGATCACCACAGTGCCTTGTACGTAATAGATGCATAACATCTGTCAAATCTATGTCATCATCCAAGACACTGATAATACGATGTAATATGGGGTCAAATACAAATACCTAGAGCATTTCACTAGAGGCCCCCCACCAAAGTTGACAGCCTGTCAATGACTCCATTTTGGGCTTAGTCATTTAGCCAGTTCTGAAAACCTCCATGTATGATATGGAGTCCACCACACCTCTCAGTTTTGTTACAAGAATAGTGTGATATACTTTGTCAAATGCTTTGCTGAAATAAAGCATATTATACTATATGTATACTAAGTTTGAAGCATTTTTCTGATCTGCTTGAAAGGAAAAGGAATCATACCACATATATAAATATTAGCAGGCAGGTGGCAGGTACACATTCAATTAGTTGTTTGGGAAACAGAATGACCCCATATTCAGATAAAAAACAGTAAGATCTTACATAATTACATTGTACTCATACCTTCCACTGACCACTTGCTCTGATTATAAAAAGTTGCTATAAAACAAAAAGCAGGGATATGATTTTTTTTTTTTTAATTTTTAGTGATTTGGCCAGGGTCACACAGCTTGTGTCAAGTGTTTGGTCTGAGGCCGGATTTGAACTCAGGTCCTCCTGACTTCAGGGCCTGTGCTCTATCCCCTGCGCCACCTAGTTGCCCCCTGGACATCATTTTAACAGCATAAAACTGGTCCTTCAGGCCTAAGCCTAAGGTCATGGAATGACTCAACACATACATGGCAGGATAAAACATCCTTAGCTCTGATGACTAAAGGTAAGAATCACAGCTGACAACCAATCACACAATAACAATTCTACCTCATAGCCAGCCTCAGGAATATCCAGGTGGAAAATACTCCTGTTTGAAAAGAAATAACACAATGGGAAAACTGAGCCAAAAGGATCTTACCTTCAGTATGCCAAGGTTGTTCTCTTGACTTTTTCCTAGGTACAGACCACCTGTAACAGTTCAGAACCACAGTCCCTCTGAGTAACTTGTGGCAAATCTCCCTAATGATGGATTACTGACTTAAAGATTTGTCAGACAACTGTACCTGAATTCAAAACCAAAACGATATCAGCTACAGTCCCAAGAACTTTTACCTCAAATGGCAAGTTTCACAAAGCACATCTTAGGGCTAGATAGAATAATTTTTACTCATGATGTTACAATAAGCAATAAAAGTTTTATTAGTGCTCTCACACACAAGAGATTTCACTTAACATTTCATTTTTTTCTTAAGTTTAACCCTGGTGTAAAGATCAGTCATTAGAAATCACTTCTATAGTATACCAGAGGTGGGGAACCTGCAGCCTCAAGGCCACATGTGGCCTTCAAGGTCCTTAGGTATGGCCATTTGACTGAGTCCAAGTTTTACAGAACAAATCCTTTTATTAAGGGGATTTGTTCTGTGAAGTTTGAATTCAGTCAAAGAGCTGTACTTGAGCACCTAGAGAGCCACATGTGGCTTTGAGGCTGCAGGTTCCCCATGAGTGGTATAAACATACTTGTAAATTCTCAGTAACCCAACTTCATTTTTCAGGAATTCCATAACCCATAACATGTTATTTTCACAGGGCTAATAGTCTTGCCCAAACAGATAGTTTCCAGGACCCTGGCAATTTTACAAAATAGGAGAAATCTTTTCTTTGTACACGCAGTTGAATGAGATTGGTGAAGACCCCTCATAAAATTTAAACTTAAATGAGTAAAATAAGGTAAAGACCCCTAATAATAATATATGTATACCCAGGATCTGAAATGAACAAAAACAGGATGTACTAAGAGGATACTTGAAGGAGGGAGAGGCAGGTAAAACTATGTAACGATTCTGTAATTTCCACTGCTGTTGCTGGGGTAGTTTTTTCGTGTTTAGATTGTGCCCTCTGAAGCCCAGTCAATGGGATAAGAGGTAGGGGCTAGGGAGGGGTTGCGGTTAGAAACTATCAAAATGCTTGCTTGGCTGACACCACCTTCGGTCTTGCATTGAACTGCTTTTTAGTGTGAGTCGCCCTTTCTCAAGATCAAAATAAAATCCTTTCTACTTTCTACCTGGAGAAGCCTCTGAATTAATTTGGGTGAAGGTCATCGCTGTCCCACACACAGTAATTACCAATTTTTCCCTTTATCCACCATAATGTTTCTAGTCCTTACTGAGTCTCATCCCTCAGTAATGAACCTGAATGGCAGGATTTTTTTCCTGAAGCTATTGCAGCTCATTTATCTAGAAAGGCTCAGAGTTGTCCCTCCTGCTCTCTTAAATAAGTTTCTCTTTTTGTAGGGAGGAAGCAAGACAGTTCTTAAAATTAAAGTTGAACATAATCTATTACAAAAATGGGAAGGAGTCTCATACTTTATAGTCAAAATTTCTGATTTCAAGATACCAGCTTAAAGTTATTTTTAAATTGATCAGTACTTTAGTTTGTAAGATTCCCTTAGTATCTAATTGGGTGTTTTAGTCAAACGAAATTACCTTTTGATTGTTTCCTGGTTCACAAACGTTTTCTCTCTTTCATGAGCCAGAAAAAGGTTAATAGTATAGGCAGGCAGTTTTTAAGTGCCAGGTCTATTTTTTTCTTCTTTTGAAGTTTCACTGGCAATTTCTGTAATCAGTAAGATGACCTCTAGTTGTAAAACAATAAATCTGTTGTTCTAGGGGTGGTGGGAAATGCTCTTCATTCCCCTAAAATGAATTTTAAATAATATTAACACAATTACTTGCTAGCATTTATTTCAACATAAAAACATACAAACCACAAGATAGGTTTGAGGGGAAAAGATTCTCCCTCCCCCACCACCTTTTTTTCTTATCTGGCCTTCTATACTGCAGAATCTGGCCACAATTCAGGAATGTAAAAGCAGAGAAAGAATCTCAAAACTTTATAGAGATACACATTAGTTAACAAGAGAGAAATATGCTGGCAAAGTTTTTCCTCCTGAACTCTGTGCACACAATTACACTCCCTGAGGGACAAACATAGGCACAGAAAAAATATAAACAAACCAACAACTGAGACAGTGGTGCCAATATTAAAAGTTATTTCTCCTAGATGTCTCCAGAGGTCATGCTGTCTATCACACACACACAAATATACACACAGCCTAAGAAATTATTACCCTTTAAAAATTTCACCTCTGATCTGACACTTTTATTAATCACAAACCAGATAATCTTTACCTAGTTTTTCCTCTGCCTCTCTCCTCTCCCTCTGATCCAACCAATCAAAAGAGAGAAAAAGAAACTTTGATCTTTATCCTATGATACAGAGAGCAATTGCCATTTCATGGTTTCTCTTACCAGAACTCATCTTTGCCTAGGCTATAAATTTTCCACTCCATTACGCAACATAAACAGGGTTTACCCCACCCCTCAATTGCATGAAGCTTATTATAGCACAAGCCAATGTGCATTTTCCAGGTGTCCCCATATTTGTGGAGC